AAAAATTTCAAAATCATGTAATCATTATATCAAATCAAAATAGCCAAAAATAATTTTTATTTTTACAATTGAGTCAGATTCGACAATTTTCCCAATTTTTTAGGTTAATAGTATTATTTACACTTAAAAGTCATATTTAATGAATCTTATTATTGTTAATAAAAGAAAATTATTTTAAAAATTACTAACTTCTTCTTTATTAATTTCAAATTATATTCATTCTTTAATAAATTATGCAAAATTTATAATTTACATTACTATTTTATGTCTAGTGGGCAATCATTGTAAAATTGATGGTCAATCACTGTAAAAATAATGACAATCACTATTTTTTCTGTCATGTGAAGATTTTTTTATTTTTTTTAAATTTATATACTAATATTAAATAAACAATTCATTATTATTTTCAGATTAATGAAATATTTTAATTCCTTTACAAATGGTTTCATTTCTCATTTCGATAATTAAACATTTGTAATTTGTATAAATATATCCCCTTTTTGCTTATACTGGCAATCACTGTACCGTTTACCCCTATGTTAAATTTTTTTATTGAATGTAAATGTTTTGTAATTTATAAATTAATCGGTAAGAAATGATAGGACATATAAACACACTTTTTTAGGGTTCCGTACTCGGTTCGGAACCCTATTAATATCGATTTTTTTGAAATCGTTGTCAAGGAAAAAGCATGAATTTTTACAAAAAATGGCTATGTATTCCCCCCCCCCCTAGCGGCCACATCTTTTGACATAAAGAGCTCAAATTTGGCACACTTACGTATTTTAACGTGAAAATTACAGGAAAAATATAGCGTACTTGATTCAGATCAATTTACATAGCGTTGTCAAGAAAAAATCAAAAATTTCAAAAAAAAAATGATTTATTCTCCCTAGCGCACACAATATTCAACCCAAACTGTTCATATTTGCTGTAAAACTGTATTTTTGCGTGAAAAATACAGGGAAAAAATTTAAGCGCGATTTAAGTTGATGATCAATTTTTATCAAATGTTTGATGAAAAATGATAAATTTAAGAAAAAAATGTATTTTTCCGCAAAAAACGAAAAAAGTTTATCTAAAGTGATTGAAATTTATATATTTTGACGTATTTTTACGTGTAGATTACAAAAAAAATATAGCGAGGATGATTCGAGTTGATTTTTTTGGAGCTGTCTAGAAAAAACTGATAATTTTAGAAAAAATCATGAATTTTCTCCCAATAACGGAAAAAATTTTATCTAAAGGGCTTCAAATTTACTATTTTTACGTATTTTTATGTGTAGATATAATTTAATAAATATGATAAGAAGTGGAAACAGTGGACTTTTTGCTTAAGTTTATTTCTTCAGTCGTTATAACTCTAAAATAAAATAGGGGGTTCTTTGTGTTCATTTTATAAAAATTTGCGGGTTCCTCGCGGAGAAAGCAATAAATTTCTTTGACTCATTTAAGTGATTTAAATGATTTAAATTCAATTAAAACGCAAAATGTAAATACAATAAAAATATTGCGAATTGAAATAAAATTATGTTTCTTATATTTTTTTAGTAAAATATTTTTTATAAAATAAAATCGGACAAGTGCGATTAGTTACACTCGCACTGAAATCGAGGGTTTCGTACTCGAAGCGAACTTATTTGGTATAAAAACGAATGTTTAAAAAATATGTGTTGTATGTTAAATAATATATGTGATACAAAAAGGAACAATTTAAAAAAAAAATTTAAGAAAATTGTTCCTTTTTGTATCACTTATATTATTTGAAATACAACACATATTTAAAATTTTTTTTTGTTTTTATACCAAAGGAGGAACAATTTTCTTAAATTTTTTTTTTTAATTGTTTCTTTTTGTATCACATTTATTATTTAACATACAACACATATTTTTTAAACATTTGTACACTCGATTTCAGTGCGAGTGTAACTCGCACTTGTCTGATTTTTTAATTTGCAATGGAAAAATCGTAGTTATTCTATTACTTTCTTTTACAATAAATGCAAAGTCGTCACAGAAACCGATTAACGTATAAATTATCAAATATTTACTTTCAATAAAAAAAATTCAACATATCTAATTATAGTACATTTAAATAGTTTATATTTATTTCTGTATTATTAAAAACATCCTTCTATTAACATTACTTCCTATCATTTTTTTTTATAACTTTTCTTATCATTTTACCTATTATTCTCTATTATCTTTTAAAGTTTGTAAAAAAAATTTTATGAATTAAATTTTATGAAAGTTTCAATTTAAAATCTTCTGGAATTTTATTACTACCAAAAAAAATTTTAACTCGAACTCTTACAAATTCAGTTAGTAATTGAATGTTAATTAATTGAAAATTTTTTTTTCGAATTTTTATCTATGCAATTCTTTGTTTAATTAATTATTTCAACAGTTTTAAATAAAATTTCTCAAAAATTCAATTATTTAAATTGTTATTTAATTAATGTTTATATTTACAACAAAATTATAATTTTTTAAATCTCAAAAAACGGAACTATTTCTAAAAAACTTAAGGGAAATTTTTGGTTTAGAATTGACAGAAAAGACACGTTTTAAAATTTTTATTGTAAGAAAGGTATTAAAGAAATTGCAAAAATTCTTTCTGGACATTGTTGCACATTACGTAGAGAATATTTTTAAAAAATATTTGAGTGTATTTAGTTTAATTTCGTACTTTCGAAAATATACCTTTTTTTGGTGCATTTGATTCCGAACAACCAGTAATATAAAAATTCAAAAGGGAATCTTTATAAAGGTTTATTCTAGACAATAAACCTAAAAAAATGATTTTCTAAATGGTTTTTTTTTCTTATTGTTTATGTACATTTTTCTCAAAAATTCGCAAAAACACCGTCTTTTTGGGGCAATTTACCCCCGTATCAAAAAAACAAGGGGTAGAAAAATGAAATTTTAAAGGTTTATTCTCTAATTTTTTAAATAAGGAATCGAATGATCTTTGGTTATTTAAAATCGGTTCGGTAGATTTTAAGAGAAGCTGTGCACCATTTTAAAAAATGAGTTTTCGAGAAAAACACGTTTAAAGTTTTTCATAACATAATACATTATTGAGCCAGGACTATCAAACAATTTTTGCTTACAACTTTTGTTTTTTTTTTAAATATTTTTTAAAAAAACGTTTTGGAACAGTAATTTTATGATACTAAGGAACATTTTCAAGCAAAAAAAAAATCGATTTTTTTTTAATTCTAAACCAGAAAGTCCCCTTATAAAATTATAATTTTAGTATCATTTTTAGGTATTTGATATTTTTCTAGTACTTTTCATAAAATTTCCTGACTTTTCCCTGATTTCCCTGACCCGTGGCAGCATTATTAAATTTTAATAATTTCTTCGTAGTGAGATTAAAGGAAATTAGTATTTCTTTTAATTTATTTAAATTAACATTTTTGTTATAAAAAAATTTTTCTATGTGAATACATTTTTTGCGTGCTTTGTTCTGCGAGAAATGCAAATTATTTAAATTAGAATTAATGTAATCTAATTTAAATTATAATTAAGATCTTTAATATGTCATAATATTTAAGTCATAAAGAAAATAGAAAAAAAAATTTTGTTGTGTGCGATAAAAAAAATAATATTTGATAAATAAAAATCAACTTCGTTCTCTGTAACTAAATAAGATTACATTCATTCTAATTCAAAGAAATTGCATTTCTCGCAGAACGAAGCACACAAAAAACGTATTCACATAGAAAAATGTTTTGATTTGAAGTTAGCAGTAACGTCCTTTTTTTATACCAAAGTGAAATTAAGGGAGCTGAAGTTGTATTAAAATAAAACTGTTGCACATTATTTTAATTCAACCAACTTATACACATATTGTTTTAGTTTGATTCAAATAAATGGTTCTAAAAATCAATTATTCGTATTTTCAATTCATAGATTTTCATTAGATATAATTTTCATTGAGCTGAATAATTACTTTTTCCAATTATTATTTTGCAGAATTTTCATTAAACCGATTTTCTATATTATAGAATTTTTTTAGAATAATCGGTTATTTGGTAATTCTATCAAATAATAATTTGAAAAAATAAAAATTCATCTACAAAAATTCCATCCAATGAAATTCAACCTAATGAAAATTTATTACAATGGCTATTATATAAAATGAAAATTCGAACAAATAAAAATTCAGTGAAGTGAATTTTCGGTTATATAAAAATTCTATAATATAGAAAATCGGTTTAATGGAAATTCTGCAAAATAATAATTGGAACAAATAATTTTCGGCTCAATGAAAATTATATCTAATGAAATTCTATGAAATGAAAATACGAACAATTGATTTTTAGAACTTAATTGTGCGTCCCAAATTTTTGAGTTGAAATTTTACACAAACTTTGAAAATCAGTTTTATAAAAACAATTTCTGGGAAATTGTTGAGTCAAATAATGAAAATAATTTTTAAGTTGAAAGAATTTTTAAGATTTAAATTCATAAAAATTTGAAAAAGGTCTGTGAAATTATTTCATTGTATACTCAATACAGAGTTTTCACAAACTTTTTGCCTTTGTTAATTACAAACAATTTTTCCGCTTTTTAATTTTTTCTCGATTATTTTGACATATTCGCAGATTTCTTCTTCAATATCTCTTTTAAGTATCTCGACTAACAATTTTTTCATATCAAACTCCTGCCCATTTCCCCTCCATCTCAAAATGAACTCTTTTGTTTTCTCGGATTGTAGCTTCAACGCTTCGGGACAACATAATAGATGCAACAAAGTTTCCTCATTCTAAAAACATAATCTACACGTCCATTCTTTAAAACCTTTCTTATTTGCCCTTCCCACATTTCCACTAGATTCGTATTTATCGCGAAAAAATAATGTAACGAATGTGATAAAAATTATCCCACGGTCAGAAAATAATTATTATTTCCGAACAAGTGTAATTTGAATGTGTTTTCTATTTTTTTTTTTTTTTAATTTCGATTTCGATATCATTGATTAATGAACTTACCTGTCCATTTCGAAATTGTTGTTGCTGTTGTTGTTGTTGCTGCTGCTGTTGCTGTTGATGATGAAATAAAGCTACTTGTTGCTGAGCAGTCATCTGGTTGTTCAAATAAACAAGATGTTCTGCACTTGGATTTGCACTCTGAAAAATTCAATAAAATTCAGTTAAAATTAAAAAAAAAAATTTTTAATCTTGTAAAAAATTATAATTTATGCTTTATATAGAATATAGCATAAAAAAAGAATTTAATTTCTTTTTATAAATTTTAAGAGTCAAATTAATCACACAATTATTTTTTTTAATTACAATAAATCCACGGTTTATAAATACAAATTATACATTTCGTGAAAATCTCTTTCTTAGTCATCTAGTAATAAAAATCGACAGAAACAAATAATTTATTTTCTTTTATAACTGTTATTTCAATTTCAAAATAGTTGAATAATTTACATTTATGATGCTGAAGTCCGCAACGTTTTTATAAACGAAAACAAAAAAATAATTAGACAATATCTATTACTTTGGGTTAAAATTAAAGTTATTCAGGGGTAACTGGTTTTTATAAAAGTATTAATTTTTTGAAAGTTTGTGCAAATCAAAATTATATAATAATAAAATGCTTGGTCTGTCCTTCTGTCCTAACTTGAAGTTGGCCTTTTCTGATTTCATGTGTTTTTTTGAATAGTAATCTTATGACGTGTCAAATTTGGACAATTCTTTTTCTCATTTTTGCCAAAGTTGTATAATTGTGTTTCCAAATTTCGGAATAAGTTTCTTTAAAATTCCAAATTCGAAAATTCAATTCACGAAGCTGAAGTACACAACGTTTACCAACATAATTTTTTTTAAAGTTGTATATTCATTCAAAAATTATATACAAATACAAAAAATTTATGATGAGAAAAAAGATGCGCCAGGAAATTTCGTACAAGATAGTAATTTGAAAAAAATTTATTTTTAAAAATTAATTTTTAAGGTACCAGGGGCCAACGAATACCTATTAAATATTAATTATAAAAACACAGGCCTCGAATCAATTTAAAGACACAAAAAAGTCGTTTTAGTCGATTTATATTACAAAAAAAAAGGGTTTGTTTTTTATTTTAACAAAAATATTTCACAGATTTTTAAATAAAAATTTTTTTTTTTAATAATAATCCTTTTCGAAGGGTTAAAGTTGAAATTTTTAGAAATAATTAAATTTCAAAAGATATTGTTAATTTTCAAACAATTATTAAATTTTACAGAACTAAAAATAATTTATCAAACAATTTTTGGAAAACATTTTTTAAATTTAATTGAATTTTCAAAGATTTAAAATTGAAATTTTTGAAATTAATTGAAACTTTAAGTATTTTGTAATTAAAATTTTAGATGATTTCACTAAAAATTTATTAGAAAATGCGGACAAAGTACAATAATTTGAAAATCATTTTTAATTGAAAAATGGTTTCAGACAGTTGAAATTTCAAAGAATATTATTAAAATAGTTAAAAATAATTAAATTTCCTTAGAGTTTTAATTGAAATTATTAAATTTCAAAAAAAAAAATTTTCGATGGAAAATTTTAGAAATAATTAAATTTTAGATGCTTTTAAATTCAAATTATTGAAAATTCAATTAATTTTGAATTAAAATTTTTGAGAATAATGAAATTTTATTTGATTTTACATTTGGAAAATAATTGAATTTCAGTTCATTTTGAATTGAAAATTTTGGGAAATAATTGAATTTTAATTGAAATTTTGGATAATAATATTTAATTTAAGTTCATTTTTGATTGAAAATTTGGATAATTAATTTTGAATAGAAATTTTAGAAAATAATTGAATTTTATTTCATTTTAAATTGAAAACTTGGTAAATAATTAAATTTTAAATTGAAAATTTTGGATTTTTAATTGATTTTGAATTAAAATTTCGGGTAATAATTGAATTTTAGTTTATTTTGAATTGAAATTTTTAAAAAATAATTTAATTTTATTGTGATATTTTTTTTTAAATTATAAACAATTGTTAAATTTCATAAAAATTTTAATTGAAAAATAATTTTGATATAATTGAATTTGTGATGTATTTCATTAAAATTATTAAAAATAATTAATTTAGTGAAAAATCATTTTAGTTCAAAATTTGTTAAATAATTGAATTGAAGAAGATCTGAAGAAGATCTAGATTTTATACTAAAAAACTGTATTGTATTTACACTTTTTTTCAAAGGTAAAAAAAATGTCGCATTTTATTAAAATAAGTCGATAAAAGTCGTATTTTTGAAAAAAGTCGGAAAAAGTCGTATAATCCGAGGCCTGTAAACATATAATTTTCATTATTATCATTTAATATGTAATAATATTCTAATAAATTAAATTATTATTAATATTAATCTTTAATTTCTTTATAAAAAATAATTAAATACTCAATTTGGCGCGCTTGCGCGCGTTTAATTTTGCTAGTTAGAGATAAATTGACATGAAAAAATAATTCTATTTTAATTTTTTGTTTTTGAAAACGTTGCGGACTTCAGCATCATTTACATTTGTGAATTTCACATTGTTTATGATTAACGATTTAATATATATATATATATATATATATATATTTCTCACGCGGAAAATATTGTAAAATTTTATCTACAAATTTTTCTATTTGTTAGTGCAAAATCTTAGTTATTCTATTTGAATCTATCTTTGTGTCATCAATGTCAATATACATTTTATCCACTGTATTTTATATCCATACGAATCATTGGAATTGTATTCAAACTTTGTTTTCCTATTCAAATCTATTTTCTACCATAATCTATCCTCGCCTTATCAATGCCAATCCTTTCCTTTCAAATTCTTAGAATTATATAGGGTAAAGGGTACAGTGATCGACACCTGCTATTGAAAACGATAATAATCGAGTCCAAATTTCTAAAGTGTGACAATATTGTTTGAGTAGTCGAAATTTTTTTTATGAAATACACATTTTTCTATTAAAAACAGTAAATAAAAAAAATATAATTTAACCCTTAACTGGCACAATGGGTCCAGTAGACCCGAGCATTTTTTCGAGTTCAAATTAATTGAATGTGTAACTTTTGAAAATTTTTTATATTTTAATATATTAGTTTGACATATTCTTAGTAATTTTAGAAGTTTTTTCATACAACTAATTCGATACAAAAGAATAAATTTACTTCAAACATTAATAATTATAAATTTTTAATTTTAACCTAAAAAGTCACATTTTATTCTGCAAAATAAATACCTTTTTTGCAAGTTCTGCTGTTATGGTAATTTTTTCCTTAAAGAATAAAGAAGAATAACCCTAAATTTTTAAGTCATAATATTAAAATTTAAATAACTTATGAATTTTCAAGTAAAAACACGCAATTTTTCGTATTTATTTTTCACAATATTTTTTAACTAACTTAAAATAAATTAATCCCTATTAAACTAATGAAATTTAAAAAAAACAGATCGTAAGTTACCCCAGATTAAATTTTTGTGCAAAAATATTCAATACCGGCTGTACAATACACGTTTGAATACGTCGGGTCCAGCAGACCCGTTGTGCTATTTACGTTCCTGTTTAACTCTTAACTGGCACAATTCCTTGTTCGAACGTAAATGGCACAACGGGTCTGCTGGACCCGACGTATACAAACGTGTATTGTACAGCCGGTATTGAATATTTTTGCACAAAAATTTAATCTAAGGTAGCTTATGATGTGTTTTTTAAAATTTAATTAGTTTTACAGGGATTGATTTATTTTAAGTTAGTTAAAAAAAAATTCTGAAAAATAAAAACGAAAAATTGCTTGTTTTTACTTGAAAATTCATAAGTTATTTAAATTTTAATATTATGACTTAAAAATTGAAGGTTATACTATTATTCTTTAAGGAAAAAATGACAACAGCAGGACTTTCAAAAAAGGTATTTATTTTGCAGAATAAAATGTGACTTTTTATGTTAAAATTAGAAAAATTATTAATGGTTGAAGCTAATTTACTCTTTTGTATCGAATTAGTTGTATCAAAAATATTAGAAAATTACTAAGAATATGTTAAACTAATATATTAAAATATAAAAATTGTTCAAAAGCTACACATTCAATTCGACGTCTCCTAATAATAAAGTGTTTATTCAAATTTCAGTGCAATAAAGTGTTAACTCAGAAAATTGGTTTATATATTGTCTACTGAAAATTTCGTGCAATATAGTTCTTATTAAACTGTTTGTGCAATATAGTGATAGTTCAAGTTGAGGGTAATAAGGGGCCATTCATTAATTACGTAAGGGTTCTTAGGGGGAGGGGGGGTTTATAAAATCTCTACATGGCCTTAAGTCGGGAGGTGGGGGGTAGAAGTTATTCTTACGTAAGATTTTGCCAACTATTTTCCATTTGTATTGTTTGTAATTAATTTTTTAATTACATTAATATTGTTAAAAACTTACGTTAGAAAGGGGAGGGGAGGGGGTTTGAAAAATCTTACGTATTCTTACATGGGGGTAGGGGGAGGGTCAAAATTAGCCAAAATCGTCCTTACGTAATTAATGAATGGTCCCTAAAATGTTTATATTGAATCGTCAATTCAATATAAAGCTTACATTCAAATAAATTTTTATTTTATTATTAAAACTGTTTAAAAAACATAATATTATAATTACATGAATTTCTAAAATTAAATGAATAATATAAGATCCTTTTTAGAAAATATGTTTATAAAAAATTGATTAGGTAATTAATTTAAAGATAAATATGAGATGACTGAAAATTTAAAATAATAAATTAATCTTTTTGATGCCCTATTCTATTCAATAAATGTTATTGACACAAATAAAATTATTATTTCTTTTTTTATACTATTAATTCATTTGAATTTATTTAAGTTAGTCATTAAATTATTATTAAATTCATTTTTAAATAAAGAATTATATTTAATTTTTTAATTGACGATTTACTTAAAAGAATTAATTTTTTAATCATTTTAAGGTTAAAAATACTTTATAATTTCATTACTACAATTTTTAACATAAATTTTTGTATTATGTGCATTACATTACATATTTTATATGTAACAAATGGTAATAAAAACCATTCAAGTTTTTTTAGATTAAAAAAATTTTTAAATTCACGAAAAATTTTAATTTTTGTAGAAATTTACAGAAATTTCCCTGACTAACAAAATTCTCTGACTTTTCCCTGACCGTTAGACACACCCTGGTAAAATTATAAAAAAATATATATAAATTATTTAAATAAGCTTTATATTGAATTGACGACTAAACATTTTATTACCCGCAACTTGAACTATCACTATATTGCACAAACAATTGAATTGCACGAAATTTTCAATAGACACCATATAACCATATAATATATAAATTGCATAATTATTTGTTTGCGCTTGAAGATTAGGAATTTTTTCAAAATTTATATACATATTTTATAATTTGTAATTGCGATAAATTTATTAAAAGTATGTTGCGAATGATATTATCTTTTATTTATGATTGTTATTATTTTTGTTTTTCTTATTTTCTGTATATTTGATTGTTGTTCTCATGATTTTCCTGGGACAAAATAAAGAAATTCTAATTCTAATTCTAACCCAATTTTCTCAGTTAACACTTTATTGCACTGAAATTTGAATAAACACATTATCATTAGGAGACGTCGAATTAATGAATTACTGAAGGGAGGCCTAAATAAAAAAAATATAAAAATTTTATAACAGCAAAATATTAAAATTATCAAATAAATATTACCTTCAATTGCATTGGATGAATTTCGTATGGTACAGTATGAACGTTATTCATAGTTTGTAATCCAAGTTGTTGTGGTTGATTCTGTTGTAAAAGACCAAGTTTATTCAATGGATATTTCCATTTTTCTTGACTCTGAAATAATAATTAAAGAGTTATTTTACAAATTAAGTTTCCCGTTTGTATTAATAATTCAATTTTTTTTTTGTTATTTTCTATCACAGTGAAAGGGTTAAATTATTATTAAAATGAAAAGATAAAAAACATTTGAATAACATACACTATCAATATTGGCTTCATCAGCCAATGCCCAAGCACGAGGTGCTTGTTTATTGTGAAATCCAGAAGACTGAGCATTAAAATCCGCTTCGATTGGTCGTTGAAAAACGTAGCCAACCATTGCATCGTCTTGAGGTCTGCTGATTCCCATTTGATGAGTTTGTCCACTTTGAATTCTTACTCCATCACCACCAGCCATAATTTGAGTACCCTGATCAGAATCCTGTGTAAAAATTATAATTTTAGTCTCCTATAATTCAAAGAAATCTAGGAATATAATATTTAAGTGTTAAAAATCAATTTTCACTTAATATTTCAGATTTTTTTCATATACAATAATTAAATACAATCAGGGTTGACAGAAAAATTTTATTTTGTTTTTCCATGACTTTTCCCTCATTTCCAATTCAAATTCAAATTTTTTCCCTAAACCTAATGAAAATATTTCAAGAGATTTTCAATAACAGGCGATTCAATTTTTTAAAATTGAATTATTAAAAAAATATATTAATTTGAATTGTTTGCAAAATTAATTATTTTCAATAATTTTAAAACAAATTCTTCGAAAATTACATGATTTAAAACAGTTTTCAATTCCGAAAATTCAAATTATTGTCTAAAGTTTATCAAAAAATTTCACCAATTCAAAATCAATGTTTCAATTTATAAAACGAAGCACGAAGCTGAAGTACACAACGTTTATGATAAACGATTTTCAAAGAAATAATTTCTTAAAATGAAAAATGCTATAATTTTTTACCTTAAAAATATTTCTTCTAGTTTTCATTAATCAACAAATTATAAAAAAATATTTTTTAGGCAAAAGATTATAGAATTTTTTATTTTAAAAAATTATTTCTTTAAAAATCGTTTATCATAAATTCTATAATTTTTTGCATTAAAAATATTTCTTGTAGTTTTTATTAATTAACAAATTATAAAAAAATATTTTTTAGGTAAAAAAATATTTCTTTAAAAATCGTTTATCATAAACGTTGCGTACTTCAGCTTCGTAATTTATAATCTTTTGAAATTCATTTATTATTTCTCAAAATTTTAACTCGAAATCTTTTAAAATAAAATTTTTTCTAAATTTTCTATCTTAAATTTAAAATGGTGAATAATTTAATTTTAATATCTTTAATCAATATTTTCGAAAATTCAATTATTTAAAACATTATTCAATTCAAAATTCTCCAAAACTTTAATTATTATTAAAGTTTATAAAATATCAAATGAAATTTCAATTTACGAAAATTTTCATTATACAAATCTCCTGAAATTATAATAGTTCAAAAAATTTTAACTATTGCTTTTCCAAAACTCAGTTATTTCTTAAATTTTTAACTTCAATTTCTTTTTGAATTAATTATTTCTAATAATTTTAATAAATATTTTGAAAAAATTTAATTTTTAATTCTTTAAAATTAAATATTTTTTTATATAATTTTTTTTTAAATTTCAAGATTTTAAGCTTATTAAAATTTTAATTAAAAATATCAAAAATCGAAAATTCAATTTTCCAAAACATTTTTCAATTGAAAATTCTCTAAAATTTTCTATAATTGAATTATTTCTAAATTTTTTTTTTAAATTCTTCGCTAAATTAAATTTTTTAATTACTTTAATACAATTTTTCAAAAATTCAGGGAAATAAAAAGTTTTTTAATTAAAACTACTCTAAAATTCTATTATTCTTTAAAGTTTGTAAAAAAAAATTTTATCAATTAAAATTTATGAAAGTTTCAATTTAAAATATTCTGAATTTTAATTACTTCCAAAAAAATTTTGAACTCAAACTCTTTCAAATTGAATTAGTAGTTGGATAATTAATTGGAAATTTTTTTCCCAAATTTTTATCTATATAATTCATTGTTAAAAATTAAAATTTTTGAAATCTGAAAAAATGCAATTATTTCTAAAAATCTTAACTTTAACTCCATCATAATTAAATTATTTGGAACATATTTCATTTGAAAATTCTCTAAAATTTAATTATTGTCTGAAATTTGTAAAAAAAATTTCATTAATTCAAATTTATAAAAATTTCAATTAATAATCTCCTAAAATTCAATTCTTTCTAAAAATTTTACATCAAACTTTTCCGAATTTAATTATTTTAAAAATTTCATTTAAAAATTTTCTAAAATTCAATTAGTTCCAAAAATTTTAACTATTGCTCTTCGAAAATTCAATTTTTTCTCAAATTTTTAACTTTACTTTCTTGTTCAATTAACTTTTTTTAATAACTATTTAACCAAGTTCTTTAAAAATTCAATTATTTCAATTGTTTTCTAATTATTGTTTATATTTTTAACAAAATTAAAATTTTTGAAATCTTAAAACTTGGCAATTATTTCTAAAAAATTTAAATCCAAACTCTTTGAAATTCAATTATTTTTTAAATTTTTAATTAAAAATCTTTTAAAATTCAATTATTTCACAAATTTTCATTTAAAATTAATTTTTTATTTTCAATAATATTTTTAATTAAATTCTTCGAAAATATTTAATTATTTAAAACATTTTGAAAATTTGTCTCAGTTTAATTCGGTGGTTTAAAAAGGAAAAATTATTGAAAATATTTCACAAAGCTGAAGTACGCAAAGTTTATAATAAACGATTTTTATAAAGAAATAATTTTTTAAATAGAAAAATTCTATAATTTTTTGCCTAAAAAATATTTCTTGCAGTTTTCATTGATCAAAAAATTATAAAAAAAATAATTTTTAAGTGGGCAAAAAATTATAGAATTTTTCATTTTAAAAAATTATTTCTCTAAAAATCATTTATCATAAACATTGCGTACTTCAGCTTTGTAATATTTCTGTGAAAAATTCTTATTATTTTTGGAATTTTCAACAATTTTAATAATTCAAAAAATTCGGTTAAATTTAATTTTTGTTAAATAATAACTCGAAAACATGAATATTCAATTAAATGTAAATTTCAGATAATGAAAAATCTGTTAAATGAAAATTTTAACAAATTAATTTTAGAGATTATTCGCATGTTGTGACTATCACCGGCGATATTTAAGGAGCAAATTTTCAAAAATGAATAAATCCATTTTTCCCAAAAAATTGGAAATAAAAAACGTCTTAAATCCAAAAAAAAAAAAACATTTTTATATAAATAATTTATTACAATTCACGAAATAACAAAAAATTTTTATCAATTTTTGAAAATTTACTCCTCATTTCTACTACCTTCATGTCATTAGGAAACAAATTCATTTCTCTTCCTTTCTCTCTCTCTCAAAAAAAAAAAAATTATCCTATTACAAACACGAAAAATGCAAATTTATTCAAGATAAAAAAAAATTCTCAAATTTTTTTCACGAGAATTGAAATTTCAAAAGCTGCAAACAATAATAATTATTGTCTATATTTTGAAAATAATTGATAACAAAATCAGATACTTTAAATTAAATACAAAAAAATTGCAAACAGAAAAATATTGAAGAATCGAAAAAAAATTTTATACGAATACGTAGCGTGTAATCAATACAATCGTTTTATAAAAAAGAAAAGAGGAAAAAAAAAATGTTTAGTAAAATTTACACTAAAGTAGAAGAACGATAATTGACAGCTAGAAAGAGAAAGAGAGAGAAAGGAACATAAATCGTCAATAAACAAAAAAAAACACACACAAATGCAGAAAAGACTAGAAAAAAGGGGTACAAGAAAAAAAGCATCGCTAATTGTAGAGAAAATTATAAAAGAAAACGGAAACAGAAGAAAAGAGAATAGAAAAATAAACAAAAAAAAACTTACAACAGGTATGTGTCCATTTGCTGGATGGTGTAACTGCATCGGGGGTGCCGGTTCACCTGCACCCCCGCCCCCACCAACACTAGCAGCGCTTCCCGCACTTAGCCACTTCATAGTCACACAATAAAATCGACTTTATTTCCCCCGTTTAAAGTCTGTCAATTTTCGACAAACTTCTTTACTACTCGATTCGTTAAAAAAAACCAAAAAAAAAAATGCCCAAAATCAAACTTCGAAAAATGGACGAGTTTTTATCCGAAACGCGAAACGAAGCGAATATTATGAAAAAAAATAATAACGAAACTAGCGGGCACGAGAGGGCGCAAAACGAAAATGATTTTTTAGGTTAGCCTTGATCGTTCCTTTTTTTTTGTATTATAAAAAAAAAATAATTTTTTTCTCCTTAATTTTTCTCGAGATAAAAAAATAACACACACAAAGAGACACAAAACCGGCACGGCGTGGCAACACTAACGAAAGGGCGACATTTTATAATATCACCTCTTTTGGTGGTTGATTTTATTTGCTTTTTTTTGATTATTCAACAATTTCCACACAATAGCGACGATTCGTTATATCGTCGTTTGCGGGGAAAAAGAAAACTACGCGACACTTCACTATTCACTGTATATTGAAAATTTTCTTAATCCAACAATGTTTCGTTTTTATAAACCGTAAAATTAATTAAAACGAAAAGATGCGAACACAAGCTTGTTTCATGTTTGTTTGTATGTGTGTGGATGTTTGTGTGTGTGTGTGTATGTGTGTGAGAGCGAGTGGGCTATCGGCGTTTTAAAGTTCTATCCTGTTTTCTTATAGCGATGCCCTCGAATCAACATTTTCTCTTCATGGACACTTTTATTAATATATATATACACTGAAAAAGTGAAAAACAATTTTAATTGGAGGAATATTGACCTAATGATAATCGAGTTTAGGGGATAATTAAACTATTCTTAAAAACTCTTAAAATATACACTATACAGAGTGGTATATATACACAATAAAACATCGAAGTCGAGTTACGCGCGCGTCTTCTCCAACAACGACCGGTCGCTGATTGGCAGAGAGATTATTTGTTACAACAACGTTTCTCATTCATTCGCGAAAAAAAAGATGATTTTCCAACAACACAACAACTTTATTTTATCGTGGATTTTACAAGTTGATGTCGTTGTAACGACCGTCAGGCTGGAAACGACGACGACTGACAAATACCGACATACTTTTTTTTTTTTGCCGCGCCGCTGTCGCCGCCAATTAACATTCGAGCCGATTTTGCAAACTCCCCCATAAACCAACAAGTTTGTAGATGTGTGATGAAGGCCTAAGCATAACTGAGTAGGGTACGCAAGTTGGATACGGGATATGTAAGTTCCCGCAACCGTCTTTAATTGTGCGTTGAAAAACGGTTGCGCGAAACATTGGCCGAACCGTTTTTCATGCTGATTCTACACTCATCGAAAACTGAGAGAGCGGTCCGCTTTTGCGTGACGCTTCCCATATTTAACTATATATATATAGATATAGTTGAATATGGGAAGCGTTACGGAAAAGCGGACCGCCGCTCGCTCAGTTTTCGGTGAGTGTAGAATCAGCATCAACGCACAATTAAAGACGCTTTCGGGAACTTATGCTGATTCTACACTTACCGAAAACTGAGCGAGCGGTCCGCTTTTTCGTCACGCTTCCCATATTCAACTATATCTATATATATAAAAAAAACGTAACGCAAATGCGGACCGCTCGCGCAGTTTTAGGTGAGTGTAGAATCAGCATTAAGGCCTGAGCAGAATAGAAACGTAACTGTAATCGCTATCGTAAACGGAAGAATGAGTTAGAGAAGAATAGTCATATAGTGTTGTTCTTCTCTTACTAATTCTTCCGTTTGCGATTGCAATTACGATTCCGGATACGTTTCCATTGTGCTTAGTCCTTTACATATCCACTGAATTCTATATATCTGGAATTGGGATCCGAAATCTTGTGTAACTACTCAACCCTGAACCCACTTGTGGCAACCATCTTGCTGTTTTGTCTCTTTCTTTATACATATGTTCGACAGAGACAAAATAAAAAATGGCTACCGCAAGTGGATCGACACCAGATGGCGTATCGCAGTATTTCAGATCCCAATGCTGTCTGGCATTGAAAGTCGCGAGCCGAGAGAGAGGTCTCATTCTTGTGTTCCCCTCTTTGTCGGTACAGGTCCATTAGAAAATATTTAACAGTATGTATATGTGAACATGACATAAAGGCCAAAGCAGAATAGAAACGCAACCGCAAACGTAACCGAAATAATGAGTTAGAGAAGGATAAACAATATATCTATCCTTTTCTAATTCATTCTTCCGGTTACGTTTGCGATTAAGATTCCGGTTACGTTTCTATTCTGCTCAGGTCTTAACACAGTTAACAGTAAACTTTTGGAACGTATTATACTACGCCTGCGCAGTTTAGCAAGAGAAGGAGAGGTATACAGGAATCAGACCACTCTCTCGGTTCGCGACCATCAATGGCAGACAGCATTCCAGATATAAGGCCAACGCACAATAAATTCGCGAACGAGATGCATGAGATAGAAAAGGATACGAATATATATCTCTGTCTTTTTCTAACTCATGTTTCACGTTCGCGAACGTCTTTCGCAAAGCTATTCTGCTTAGGCCTATATAGAGTTCAGTGTAGATATTACGAAAGCGCCTATGGGCCACCCAAAGGCACGTACACATGTAGGCTAAATGTAGCAAAACGTTGAAAACGTGACAGAACGTAAATGCTATGAAATACCAAAAAATTGCATGCATTAATGCATGCCGTCAATTCAACTTGATTTTGCTACATTTAGCCTACATGTGTACGTGCCTTTGGGTGGCCCATAGGCGCTTTCTTAACATATTCCGTATCCGACTTGCGTACCCGACTCAGTTGTGAGGCGCCGTAAAAACTTATAATCATTTGTTTTCGAAACTATACTTGTCCGAAAAATAGTAAACCAAATGATAAGTTTTTAGAATTTCATTTTATCATAATCAATAGTTGACAAATTTTTGACTTAACATAACCCTCAATGAAAAAAAAATTAAAAATGCGAAACTTATTATTACAGTATTTTTTGTTTGTAATTATTCTTATTCAGCGTAATATTTATTTCTTACAATGCGGGTAATATTTACTTTTATAAAAAGGCAATAATTATATTTTTTGTTTATCATAAACGGTATTTACTGTTATTTCTTGTAAGTTTAAATATTGAGTGACAAAATATTTACATTACCGAATTGACAGTCGATATAAAATTTATATTTAACTTGATTTCTCTTTAACTAAAACGCAATTGCAATCTTTAACGCAATCGTATAGGCCTGAACACAATAGAAACATAAACGGAATCGTAAACGCAACCGGAATAATAAGTTAGAGAAGGACAAACAATATATTTATCCTTCTCTAACTCATTCTTCCGGTTGCGTTTGCGATTACGTTTTATTCTGCTCAGGCCATAAACGGAAACGTAAGAATGAGTGAGAGAAGAATTTATAAAGATATTTTCTATCCTTCTCTTACACATTCTTACGTTTTCTTTTACGATTGCGTTCCCGTTCAAGAATCTATTCTGCTTAGGCCTATACGATTTTGCCTATTGTGGAATTAACCTGAAAGTACAGTTAGTGGATTATCGGTAACTGGACAAATTCGCCGTCAGACATGCATCGAACGGACAGAACGTCATAAACAAAGACGTCGTCAAACAGGGCGATAAATTTAATAACACAAACGATTTTTATAATTTCCCACCCATTTCAACTTAAGGTGCTTTTATACCTCAAATTTCGATCAGATGAACATTAAGGTGCTTATATACCTCAAATTTCGATCAGATGAACATTATTTCTGGACCGTGAAAATGCGTGAAAAGTCATTTTCACGGCGGGTATTTTTGAATTGTTTTAAACAAAAAATGTTTTTTTTAAGAAATATAATATTAAATAATTGTTTTAATATGTAAGAACACTTTAAAATAGTGATAAAAAGATGATTTGATTGAAAAATTTAGCAAATTTTGCTTTAAAACGTTTCTGCTACAAGAAAGTGTAAAATGACGATGTTTGTGAAATGGTTTGTATAGTGTACATGTGTACATGTTTCTTTCAGTTATTCGAAACAATTAGTTGAATTTAAATTTATTTGATAAACATTTCAACTTACCGATTTATTTTCAGCACTCATTATTTATTACAAGTTAAAAAGAACCGACATAACATAAACAAAACTCTGAGAGACACTAACAAGGAAGAAGCACTGTACAAACCATTTCACAAACATCGTCATTTTACACTTTCTTGTAGCAGAAACGTTTTAAAGCAAAATTTGCTAAATTTTTTAATCAAATCATCTTTTTATCACTATTTTAAAGTGTTCTTACATATTAAAACAATTATTTAATATTATATTTCTTAAAAAAAACATTTTTTGTATAAAACAATTCAAAAATACCCGCCGTGAAAATGACTTTTCACGCATTTTCACGGTCCAGAAATAATGTTCATCTGATCGAAATTTGAGGTATATAAGCACCTTTATTTTTGGACCGTGAAAATGCGTGAAAAGTCATTTTCACGGCGGGTATTTTTGAATTGTTTTAAACAAAAAATGTTTTTTTTAGAAATATAATATTAAATAATTGTTTTAATATGTAAGAACACTTTAAAATAGTGATAGAAAGATGATTTGATTGAAAAATTTAGCAAATATTGCTTTAAAACGTTTCTGCTACAAGAAAGTGTAAAATGACGATGTTTGTGAAATGGTTTGTACAGTGTACATGTTTCTTTCAGTTATTCGAAACAATTAGTTGAATTTAAATTTATTTGATAAACGTTTCAACTTACCGATTTATTTTCAGCTCTCATTATTTATTACAAGTTAAAAAGAACCGACATAACATAAACAAAACTCTGAAGGCCTAAGCAGAATAGATTCTTGAACGGGAACGCAATCGTGAACGGAAACGTAAGAATGGGTGAGAGAAGAATAAAGATATTTGCTATCCTTCTCTTACACATTCTTACGTTTCCGTTTACGATTGCGTTCCCGTTCCAGAATCTATTCTGCTTAGACCTTAAGAGACACTCACAAGGAAGAAGCACTGTACAAACCATTTCACAAACATCGTCATTTTACACTTTCTTGTAGCAGAAAACGTTTTAAAGCAAAATTTGCGAAATTTTTTAATCAAATCATCTCTCTAACACTATTTTAAAGTGTTCTTGCATATTAAAACAAATATTTAATATTATATTTCTTAAAAAAAACATTTTTTATATAAAACAATTCAAAAATACCCGCCGTGAAAATGACTTTTCACGCATTTTCAACGTCCAGAAATAATGTTTATCCGATCAAAATTTGAGGTATAAAAGCTCCTTTATTTTATTTCGTAATAGAGAGTTAACTCATCTCAAAAAAGTCTTTCCTTTTTGAATTTCTATTCATTCAACGTCTTAGTTTTTCAACCTTTTGTTCATTCGACGTTTTGTCCGTTCGACTAACAGACACTCACTCTCATGTGTTGCCATGTGCGTTGGCCCGATCAAAATAGAATATTTGCAAGAGCCAATCAAATTCAGTGGTTCAACCGTAAAAATTCATTGCTCGCCGAAAACCAAACGAGTCGCTTGCTTTTTCCTGACAGCGGTTCCACATATGTATGCGAAGTCGCAGTGGGGAAACGGGGCGCGCAACGACTCTGTGACTTCGCATACATGTGGAACCGCTGTCAGGAAAAAGCAAGCGACTCGTTTGGTTTTCGGAGAGCAATGAATTTTTACGGTTGAACCACTGAATTTGATTGGCTCTTGCAAATATTCTATTTTGATCGGGCCAACGCACATTGAAATCGTAAAGGCACTCTCACACCTTTTTGGCTGCCTGCAGATTACCATGGCAACACATGAGAGTGAGTGTGACAGAAAATTTAAAAATTTGAATATTCAAATTTTCTGTCTTACTCACACTCGTGCGTTGCCATGGTAACCTGCAGGCAGACAGGCAGCCAAAAAGGTGTGAGAGTGCCTTAAAGGTACTCTCTCACCTCAGTTGATGCCTGCGTTGAAGGCCTGAGCAGAATAGAAACGGAATCGTAACCGCAAACGCAACCGGAATAATGAGTTGGAGAAGGATAGACATATTGTTTGTCCTTCTCCAACTCATTATTCCGGTGCGTTTGCGGTTACGTTTCTATTCTGCTCAGGACTTGAGTTGTCCTGAGTTGTCATGGCAACGTACAGGAGTAATAGAAATAGTAAATTTAAATGTTCTCTCTCGTTTACTCCTTCACGTTGCCATGACAACTCCTGCAGGCAGGCAGGTAGCCACGAGGTGAGAGTGTACCTTAAAACTTAAATCGTAACACGTAAGAATGTGAGAGAAAGGAACAGAAATATTTTCTATCTCTTTCTGTCTTATATAAAAATTTACAATTTAAGTTTTACGATTTCAATGTGCGTTGGCCTATTGTTTGAATCTTTGAAAATGGTGGAAATGAAATATTTGTCAGAACCAATAAAATTCAGTGATTCGACCATGAAAATTCATCGCTGGCTGAAAACCAAGCAGTTATAAAAGTACCTTAAAAGAGAGAGAGAGAGCAAGAGTGAGAGAGTGAATAGAGAAAATTACAAATCGACTCTCCCATCTCTCCCTCTCAACCCTACACCAGTGCATTTCAGGGGTGATAGGCAGTGGATGTCACATTCTATATGTTAATTTTTTTATTGTGTTTTGTGCATTGGAATTGAGACTGTTATTTCGTTTAACGAAGAATCTCCATGTTTACGGGAATAATATTTAGAAGTGAAAAAAAATGTTAGCCTTATAAAGTTTATCGTGATTAACGTGTGTAATTGCTTGTCAAAAGTGTTGAGATTGTGAAATTAATAAGTGGACCCACTTTTAGTGAACGAGTTCGAAGAGATATACCTATACAAAGGCTATAGAGAACGGGAGCGACAAACGAAAGTGACGTCACAAGTCCCGAGAAACAAGACAGTCTGCATTCTTATGGCTTGATTGCATTTTGTCGTGAATATATAAAAACATTTTCTTTTTCTTCCTTGATTCGATTAAAACTTTTTCTATTGAGATTTAGAATTTTTTAAGGTTAAAAAAAAGAGAAAAACGTTTCAATTTATATATAGTGACTTTAATCTTTAGATGTATTGAAAAACGTGAAAACAATAAATATAGTGAAAGATTCATTTCAATGACAATTAGTCGTCTGCATCCATGAATCAGCGTTCCTTCATCTACTGATTCTCTTTTTTAAAGAAAAGAAAAATTAAAACAGGTTAATAACGTTACTTTTTTTCATTGTTTCAATTTATTGTGTTTGTCGTCCAAGTCGCGAGTGTTATTAACCTCTAAGTTTTAAATTCTAAATCTTATAGTCTCGTGAGTTTAAGTGAAATTTTTTTTCTTTTATGTTTTATTTATTTTCTTTCTCATTTTGATAGGTTTTGTTTCTTTTTTTTTTTTTTTAATCAAATTTTTCGAAAATATATTTTTTTTTCTCTTTGTATTATTTTTAAAAATTGTATTATTTTTGAAATGATTAAAAAAAATAATAATTTCTCTCTAAAATGGTGGATGTCGTCTGCTTGTGTTTTGACTTATTCGAATTTGAGAAGATTTTAAGAAAGAGAAAGTCTTAAGGTTTCTTTGTTTTTATTTAAATTTCCTAATAAAATTGTTACATAGTAATTTTTTCTTAATACATATTTTTGTAAGTTAAATGACTATTTAAAATTATTATTCTCTAACGTTGTTTAAAAATATTTTTCACGCAAAAAATTTAATTTTGATAATAAAAATATATTTAAATTTGTTGTTAATAAAATTATCATTATAGCACTTTTTTTTTTTGACGTTAAGAGAAAAAAAAATTTTACAAAACATTTGAATATTTAGAAAATATTTTGGTTTTGTAGAATTTTTTTTTTATTCAAAAATTTTCAAAAATAATTGTAATTTTAATGGAAAATTTAGAATTTTATTTTTAATATTTTTAATTTTTTTTTTATTGTAATTTTTTTCAAATATATTTGAATATTTTTATTTAATAAGTTTATAATTTTAGGTTAAAAATAAATGTATTGTATTAAGTTTTATGTAAAATAAATTAGATTATTATTAATTTTATTTAATTCTTTTTAAGTTTTTAATTATTAATTTACTTTAATTTTGAATTTAATTATTATCGTTCAATTGAGAATTTTTATATATATATATGTTTTTTTTTTAGTTTTTATTAACTCGTATTTTTGATAATTATAGAAGGAGATCAACATCTATTGTAATTACGAAAAAAAGAAATCGTTTCCTAAGCAACAATGGATTCTGAAGAAGAAACGTACGATGTGGATTCAGGTAATGAATCCAGTGGAGATGATAATATGGAGTTTGCCATGGAAATTGAAGCCGCAAGTCCTAGAGAACGAGCCAGTGACGTTGATGATTATCCTTTTGAAGTTTTATCAACGGAAGAAATTGTTCAACACATGGTGGATTCGATAAAAGATGTAAACACAGTTGTCGAGGTAAATAAATCCAATTAATTTCTTAAACAATTTTTTTTTCAACCCTGTTAACGCAAAGAGATTTCTTTAAAATACTAACAAACTTCGAAGTGACACACTTTTTTTTACTTTTTTGATACTTTTTTTGGTCAAGGCTACTTTTTTAGTACTAATTTTGTCAAAAAGCTACTTAATGCTACTTTTTTCTAAAAACAAGGGTAAAAATAATATTGACAAAATTCAAGAACTTAATTGTTTTTTAGTTTTTGATTATTTCAAAAAGCTCGGCAAGTGAATGAAACTTATTATTGGATGCGTGAACTGCACTTTATATAATCAAATGACAACTTCACGCAGCGTGATTGACAAAATTTTTATTGAATTTTCACATATAATAAATGGAAATATAATAACTTTTTTGTCGATATTTTACATTGGAAAGTAAAATTTTATACTAATTTAATTTTATAATGAATAATAAAACGTAATTGTTAATAATACTTAAAGAAGATCTTCCATAAGAATTTGTTTTTTAATAACGCGTTCAGAATTCTGAGGAATAAAAGTAACATCTTCTGATTATTTAAAAAAATATATCGATTATTAGATTTCGATTTACATTTTGTTTTTTATAAAATTAGATTTTATAAAATTTTAGAATTTTTTTGCACTTATCTTCACTCTTCTTCATAAGTATAAAAAATTGTAAAAATAAAATAGCCACCTTGTTCATATTCGAAGATGAAGTGTATTAAAATTTTCGTTTTTTTGAGGCTACATTTGGTATGTTTTTATTTAATTTAATGGTTCCTGCTTTTTATATTTCTATAATAATAAAATGCTTGGTCTGTCCTTCTGTTCTAACTTGAAGTTGTCCTTTTCTGATTTCACGTGTTTTTTTGAATAGTAATCTTATGACGTTTCAAATTTTGACAATTCTTTTTCTCATTTTTTCCAAAGTTGTATAATTGTGTTTCCAAATTTCGGAATAAGTTTCTTTAAAATTCCAAATTCAATTCACGAAGCTGAAGTACACAACGTTTACCAACGACATTTTTTTTAAAATTGTATATTGATTCAAAAATTGTATACAAATACAAAAAATTTATGATGAGAAAAAAGATGCGCCAGGAAATTTCGTACAAGATAGTAATTTGAAAAAAATTTATTTTTCAAAATTAATTTTTAAGGTACTAGGGGCCAACGAATACCTATTAAACATTAATTATAAAAACATAGGCCTCGAATCAACTTAAAGACACAAAAAGTCGTTTTAGTCGATTTATATTCCAAAAAAAAGTGGAATTGTTTTTTATTTTAACAAAAATATTTATTTTACAGATTTTTAAATAAAATTTTTTTTTTTTTAATAATAATCCTTTTCGAAGGGTTAAAGTTGAAATTTTTAGAAATAATTAAATTTCAAAACATATTGTTAATTTTCAAACAATTATTAATTTTTACAGAACTAAAAATAATTTATCAAACAATTTTTGGAAAACATTTTTTAAATTTAATTGAATTTTCAAAGATTTAAAATTGAGATTTTTGAAATTAATTGAAACTTTAAGTGTTTTGTAATTAAAATTTTAGATGATTTCACTAAAAATTTATTAGAAAATGCGGACAAAATACAATAATTTGAAAATCATTTTTAATTGAAAAATGGTTTCAGATAGTTGAAATTTCAAAGAATATTATTAAAATAGTTAAAAATAATTGAATTTCCTTAGAGTTATAATTGAAATTATTAAATTTCAAAAAAAAAATTTTTCAATGAAAAATTTTAGAAATAATTAAATTTTAGATGCTTTTAAATTCAAATTATTGAAAATTCAATTAATTTTCAATTCAAATTCTTGAAAATAATAAAATTTTATTTGATTTTAAATTTGGAAAATAATTGAATTGGGGTCATCCATAAAGCGTGTGATACTTTAGGGGAAAGGGGGGGGGGGTCAGCAAAATATCACACTCCATATTAATCGGTATTGGAAAAAGCATCACAAGGGGGAGGGGGGGGGGTGTTAAAATTCTGAAAAAATGTATCACATGCTTTATGGATGACCCCATTTCAGTTCATTTTGAATTGAAAATTTTGGGAAATAATTGAATTTTAGTGGAAATTTTGGATAATAATTTAATTTAAGTTCATTTTTGATTGAAAATTTGGATAATTAATTTTGAATAGAAATTTTAGAAAATAATTTAGTGAAGAATCATTTTAGTTCAAAATTTGTTAAATAATTGAATTGAAGAGGATCTGAAGAAGATCTACATTTTATACTAAAAAAGTGTATTTTTTTCGCCATTGACATGAAAAAGTGTCTTTTTTGTGCCTTTTTTTTGGGCAGATAAAGTAGCACTTTTTAAGGCAGTTTGGGCCAACTGCCTAAAAAAGACTTTTTTAGGCAGTTGTTAATTTTTGCATAATTTTTGTTTTGCTTTTTTTTATTTATCAATTTTTATTATTTTATTTTATATACTATTTCATATATATTATATTATATATTATATAAATATATATATTTATAATACATAATATATAATACATAATACATAATATATAATATATAATATATAACATATAATATATAATATATATATATATTTCTTTAAAATTGTTTCACTTTTTCATAACAATGGCGAAAAAAATAGCGTATGTGGCTCGCACGTAGTAATTTTTAGGTTCGGATGATTTCAATACTCGCTGTCTGTGCGACTTCGGTTCGACTTGGCTCGCCTTCGTCTCACCTACGTCGCATTAACGACAGCTCGTACTGAAAATTACATCCTCACCTAAAAAGTACTACTTTACGTGCTTGCCACATAATATACTATTATTTACATTTTTTTTCAAATGTAAAAAAAAATGTCGCATTTTATTAAAAGAAGTCGATAAAAGTCGTATTTTTGAAAAAAGTCGTATAATCCGAGGCCTCTAAACATATAATTTTCATTATTATCATTTAATATGTAATGATATTCTAATAAATTAAATTATTGATAATATTAATCTTTAATTTCTTTATAACAAATAATTAAATATTCAATTTGGCGCGCTTGCGCGCGTTTAATTTTGCTAGTATATGTTTTAAAAGTTCAATGATGTACCTTTATTCAAGAAAAAAAAACTACATCACTAAGTCATAAACGTTCCCCGTAAAAAAAAATTTTACTTTATTTTGCTTCCTCGTGGAGGAAGCTTTGTAGTCCTTTCGTTTATAAAACTTTTCAAAGTGGCGGAAACAAATTTTTTTCTTTATAGAAACATGTTAAATGAGATCCTGATCAATTGTCCGGATTTATGTATGTGTGTGTGGATCCCTTTTTTGTTTAGAAGATAACTTCAACAGGTTTTAGTGGATTTAGATAAAATTTGGTAGGCTCATTTATCATATTAATATCTCAAATCTGACCAAAGGATTTTGAAAAATACCCCAAAAAAAAAAATTTTATCGTCTTTTTTCCAAAAATTTTTTTTTAATCGAAAAAAATTTTAAATAGAAAAATTTAAGGTTATATATAATAAAATCGTATTCCTTACGTCAAGACGAATCGATCGATATATATAAAGTATACATTTGAGGTAAATTTAAAGAATTAATGAAAGTTAAAAAATCAAAAATTCACATTTTGGCAATAAAATTTTGCTTTCTCCACGAGGAAGCAAATTTTTTTGCTGATCGTAAAGAGGAAGCAAAATGTTCATGTAATGAACATCTGAATTTACAACTTGTTTAAAATGATACTTTTTTCAATTTAGAGGACACTTTTTTTCAAAATGCTACGTTTTCATACTTTTTTTGGTCTCCTAACGACGCTGAAGTACGTAACGTTTATGATAAACGATTTTTAAAAAAATAATTTTTAAAAATAAAAAATTCTATAATTTTTTGCCTAAAAAATCTTTTTTTTATAATTTATTAATTAATGAAAACTAGAAGAAATATTTTTTAGGCAAAAAATTATAGAATTTTTCATTTTAAAAAATTATTTTTTTAAAAATCGTTTATGATAAACGTTGCGTACTTCAGCTTCGTGGTCTCTTACTAGACTTCGAAGCCTGTAATTAAGTTTAAAAAATTTTATAACCGATATTATATTCAACATGACCTTATTGACCCGCCATTTTGATTTTTTAAAAACTGTCAATGGATTCGTAATCAGCGACCTCTAAAAGCCCTAAGTAACCATTCTCAAGTGAATCCGTAGAAATATAAAATTTATTTATCGACAAATTGAATCCGACATTTAAAATTTTTAAAAAATGCTAATTCGAAAAAATTAAAATTCACCTGATAAATAATTTTATTTCTAACAAAATTATTTGAAACGAAAATTGTAATTAATAATTTTTATGATTTGATTTTTATATATTTTTTTTTATGTTATTTTATTAAATTTTTTTATTTATTTTCTGTTTAAGATGTCCCTGAATATTATTAAATAACAATTAAATGGTTAAATTACTTAAATTCATTTTATTAACATCTGTTGAATTTTAATTTTAACAGAAATCCTTTGCCTTCTATAATCTTGTAAATTTTATATTAAAAAATTTATTTGAAAAATAATAATGTGTTTATTTGAATTGTTTTTTTTTCAGATTCCAGCGACTACAACGCGTATTTTACTTAATCATTTCAAATGGGATAAAGAAAAATTAATGGAACGATTTTACGATGGCGATCAAGAAAAATTATTTGCAGAAGCCAGGGTTATTAATCCCTTCAGACAAGGTCCCGTAATTAATCGGAATCGTGCTTCCCAAAGTTCTTTGGTAAGAATTGTAGAACAAATTAAATATTCACGTAAAATAGTTCATTTTAACATTCAAAAAAATATATTTTTTTTCTATTGCAGATAAGGCGCACATCAACGAATGGAACGGAAGAATGTGCAATTTGTTTTATATCTTTACCATTGCCTGTAAGTTGTATAATGTGAAAAAATGCCATTTAAATTTTTTTTCTTTTTTATTTAATACTATGGAGAGAAAACATTTCTTAATTATTATTATATTATTAATAATATTCCGTCCAGGAAAATATTTTGTAAAGAAATAATTTAATTTAGTTCCATCACCAAGGTTGCCACAAGTCAGAGAAACCAGTTACGTTTCAAATTGAAAATTTGAAAAATGATACTGTCATTTTCAAATTCGTGTAATTTCTACAAAACTTTATGGATTTTAATTTGTTACTAGGATTTTTGACGAGTTTTTCATGTAATTTTCAATACCAAAAGAAAATTCTTTAAACAAAATTTTTATCCCTATTTTTATTTTTTTTTTATTTTCGTCTAAATAAAAATTCGGTAACATTGATAATCGGTTAATAATTTATTCTGTAAAATAAAAATTCGAACAAATGAATATTCTACAAAATTAAAATTCTATACAATTATTTTTCTGCAAAATTAAGATACTTTTAAATTATTATTCTGCAAAAATAATATTCTACACAATATAATTCGATTAAAACATAATTCTAAAAAATTAGCTTTAATGCATATTCATGCGTCTCAAATTTATATAGGGTTAGTTGGGGTAAATGGGGACAAAATCGTAATTTTTCACAAATTACGTAAGTTTCTTCCTTTATAACATAATATTAAAGGGTTTTTTGTCAAGTTGTTATTTACATTCCCAGAATTAATTTTATGCAACAAAAAAAAATATAGATAAGCTTTAAACGCAAGAAACTGACTGTACCCATTTACCCCAAGATTTAGAAAATTTTCTAAAATTTGGGGTAAATGGGGACAGCATAGTTTCTAAGAAAGGTTTAAGAAAAAAGTTTCCTCAAGTATATTACTGTATTAAGGGATGAAAAAACTTGAAAAAAATGTGTAATATGGCGGACGAACTTAAAAATTTTCTTATAAATTTTTTGTAGAATTTTCATTTGATTGAAATTTTATTTAACACAATTTTTTTTATAGAATTCATATTTGATAGAAAAAACACGAAAATGAAAATATTGAAAAATACAAAATATTGTCTAGAAGTTAGAGAAAATTATTGTGAAATTTTTGTGGCAAACTCTGACCATGAAATGGTTTTTTTTTATCTCTTTCAAGTCTAAAATTACTTTTATTAATAGATGATGACTGGACTAGAGTGTGGACATCGATTTTGCACTGGATGTTGGGGGGAATATCTAACGACAAAAATTATGGAAGAAGGCGTTGGTCAAACAATTGCTTGCGCCGCACACGCTTGTGACATTTTAGTTGACGATGCAAGTGTAATGCGACTTGTAAAGGATTCCAAAGTTAAACTGAAATATCAACATCTCATAACAAATAGCTTTGTTGAAGTAAGATTTTAATTTATTATATTATTCAATTCAATGCATTATTATATACTTTTATCGGCTTTGTAATATTTTAATTAATACTTAATTAATACTTTTACTTTTTTTTAAAGAAGAAACAATCCCTAATTTTTTTTAACTTAAAAGCTACTTTCTGCTATTTCACGGTGCGACAGAAGGTGGTTTTAATAATAATGAATTGGCACTTGAAAATTCTTTTTGATTATGATTCTTAGATGAATAACAAACATTTCTCAATAGTTTTTGATTTAAATAAAATTGAGTTTTTATATAAAAACAGTGTTTTATGGGGAATCAGAATTTATTTAATCTAATAAATACTGTAATAAATGATAAAATAATTACTTATTTTCAATTTTACATATAAATAATTATATTGCTGTAGTGTTTGTGTCCAATTTAAAAAAATTAAATTATAATGTTAAAAGAACGATTTTAAAAGTGACAAAATTTATTTAAGAGAGTAGAATGGTCTCTGAAATTTTTTGGCAAGAAGAGACCTTTAATTATCGCTCTATAAGAACGGCACTAAATGTGAAAATGATAAACATTGATTTTAAAATACTTTCTTCTCGAAAGACGGACACTTTTTACAAAAGCAGCTAGAGATCCTTATCTTATATAAATTTCCTAAATCCTAAAGATTATACGAATCCATACAAAAAGACGATTGCAAAACGAAAAGTAATATAATGACAGGTTCATTACCTCCTGCCGCCGTCAGATAGCAGCAGCATGCAGAGCGCACAAAGTCGCAGCTGTTATTAGATTACTTTTCTAATTTTTGTTTTGCAACCATGTCTTTCTATGGATTCGTACAGTCTTTTGGATTTAGGAAATTTATAAGATGAGGGTTTTGGCTGATTTTGTTAAAAGTGTTCGTGTTTCGAGAAAAAAGTATTTTAAAATCAATACTATTTCACGTTCAGAGTGATAATTAAAGCTCTCTTCTTGTCAAAGAATTTCAGATACCGTTCGACACTCTTAACGCATAAATATAAAAACGAAACAAGAAAATAACTTCATTGTTAATAAATTTATATGAACCCAAATCTAAAACATCTATTATCGATTCGCATATATGTATAAATTAAATAAATTTTGGTTCCTCATAAAATACTATTTTTAAATATTTAAAACTCAATTTGTTTTAAATTGGGCACGTAAGCTGATTTTAAAACCTATTGAGAGAAAAGTTTTTTATTTATCTTAGAACCATAATCAAAAAGAATTTTTAAGTGCCAATTCATTTTTATATAAGCCTCCTTCTGGCGCACCGTCATTTACCAAGAACTGCGAAGCCTACACAGGTTTAAAAATTTAAAACTTTTTTTTTGCCAATCGAATGAAATATTTTATTTTCTATTAACAGATGTTTTTTGAGTAAGAAAAACATATTTTGGATTTTTTTCCTTCGTGCAATTTTGCTGAATCTGAAAAAAAACACATTTTCTAGGTGTGATGTCACGTAAATTCATCTGTAGGAAAATCAGCTAATTCAAATATAATAAATAATATACCGTTGGAAAGGTAGTAGAATAAAATCCAATTAAAATTGACAGACTTATAGTTGATCAAAATTTAAATTTCATGCAAATTTTGAAGATTTTTAGATACTTGTCTAACTTCTGCTAATTTTTTCCAATCCAAACAATAAAAAAAGTTCATATTTATCATTCTTTCTCGATAGTTTATTTAATTACGAAAATTTTGAGCCCAAGTAGAGCACAATCGGATGAAAAATAAAAATTCTACACTAGATTTAGCGAACAAAACAATTTTTTCATTTTTAGTAACCTCTCAAGTGATTTCAAATGAAATATCTTTTGTATTAAAAAATCCATTTCTTTGATAAAAATTTAAATATTTTTGATTATCATGTGACAATGGTCCACAAAATTATTCTACTTTGTAAAAAAAATGTTTTGTGCAGTAAATCAATACCAATTTTGTAATTGAAGAAATAAAAAGGAAAAAACGTTTGCAGTGAGATTTGCAGCAAAAATGCAAACTATAAAATAAAGTTAAGCTGCTCGTTTTTCTTGAAACAGTTTAACAAAAAATCTAAATGAGATTTTTTTGCATGTTGTTAAAAAACATATTCTTTAGTGGAGTAATTATCAAAATTTTGAAAATTAAATTTTTTTTAGCCAAAAATTGTAAAAAAAAACAGTGATTTTTAAAATTTTGATTTTCAAAGGACCCGTGCTATTAATAATTTGTTGAAAAATAATGACAAAAATATTCCCATATTTAATTTTTCCGATGAGTATTAAATTTCCTATTCTCTCTTTTTTTAGTGTAACAGGCTTTTGAGGTGGTGTCCATCGCCAGATTGCAATAATGCGATAAAAGTTCAATACGTTGAATCACGACCCGTGACATGCAAATGTGGTCACACTTTTTGTTTTCTTTGCGGTGAAAATTGGCATGACCCAGTTAAATGTCATCTTTTACGAAAGTGGATTAAAAAATGCGATGACGACTCAGAGACATCAAATTGGATTGCGGCAAATACTAAAGAATGTCCAAAGTGTAATGTGACAATTGAAAAGGACGGCGGTTGCAATCACATGATTTGTAAGAATCAAAATTGTAAAACGGAATTTTGTTGGGTATGCTTGGGTCCATGGGAACCACATGGCTCAAGTTGGTATAGTTGTAATCGTTATGATGAAGATGACGCTAAAACTGCACGAGACGCACAGGAAAAGTCTCGTGCTGCGCTTCAGCGCTATTTATTTTATTGCAATCGTTACATGAATCACATGCAGTCACTTAAGTTTGAGCACAAACTTTACGCTAGCGTCAAGGAAAAAATGGAGGAAATGCAACAGCACAATATGTCATGGATTGAAGTAAGTTTACTATTTATTTTTAATCCCTTTCACGTGTGTAGCTGAAATATAACAAAATGATCACAAAAATGTGTCTGGGTCATTTAATTTAAAAAGGAGAAATTTAATTAATTTAAATCGAATTTTAAGGAGAAAAAAGAATACTAAAAACCCTCAAAAACACGGTTTTTGGAGACTTTACTCCCACTTTACTCGAAATCCTGACGTGATACTCAATTTTTGAACCCTGGATCGTGTTCAGGACACAAAAATACATTGGAAACCACTCGAAAAAATCGATTTTTTCAACCTCCTAATGTGGTTTCTTCCCTTAAACAATTTTTTTTTAATTAGTCGGCCATTTTGGATCCGACATTTTGAATATTGAAGAACAGATATCCGAGTCATTAGTACCCTTAGATGACCTACTCTTCTTTTTTTATTTTTCAAATTACTCAAAGTATCAAAGAATGTCTGTGTCCACTGTGTGGCGGATCCAATATGGTAGACGATTCTTTAAAAATTGATTGAATTGACGACTTAAAAATTATCACTCAGTGGTTTTTGAAGTCGCTGATTACGAATATTGAGTCGGATTTCAAAAATTCAAAATGGCGCGGACGATTTTTAACATTCTTTTGTGGACATTTTTGAATTAAAATTTTGAAATTTGAAAATTTGACATCATACTTTTTATTCAGCGATCTACAAAATCCCTGAGTGACAATTTTTAAGCAAATCCATCCATTTTAAAAATTTTGGCTGTTATATTGGATTCAATAAAAAATCCTTTACTATTTTCGAAATTTATAGAAATTTACTCATTACGGAAATAAAAATTAGAATATTATTGTTTAGATATATTTATTTTTTGTTTGTTTTATTTAGTTAGAAAATTTTCTAATAATTAATTAAATTACAGGTCCAGTTTTTGAAGAAAGCTGTAGATATTCTTTGCTCCTGCCGACAAACAATGATGTACACGTATGTTTTCGCGTACTATTTAAAGAAAAATAATCAATCTGTGATTTTCGAGGCTAACCAAAAGGATCTTGAAGGTGCAACAGAGTGTTTATCTGAATATTTAGAGAGAGAAATCACAAGTGAAAATCTTGCGGATATAAAACAGAAAGTACAGGATAAGTACCGGTAAGTTATTATTTTTTTGTATTTTAAAAAATTATAATAATTCAATTTTGAAATAGTTCGAATTAAATATTTCAAGGCAATTCAATTTTACAAAATATTATTATATCAGAGTTGCCACGGGTCAGGGAAATCATTAAAAAAAGTCAAGGAAAGTGAAATTTTCAATTGAATTAACATTTAATTAATATTCAATTACTAATTGAATTTGTAAGTGTTCGAGTTATAATTTTTTTTTGAAGTAATTAGATTTCAGAAGATTTCAATTGAAAAATGTTTTTAAAAACTAGAATTTTTTGCAAAATTAATTATATTTAATAATTTTAATGAAGTTTTTTAAAAATTCCATTATTTAAATTATTTTTTAATTGAAAGTTTTTTTAAATTCAATTATCTAAAATACCAATGTAAAAAAAATTCATTAATTAAAATTTATGCGTTTCAATTTAAAATTTTCTAAAATTCAATTATTTCTAAAAATTTTTACTTGAAATTTCCAAAAATTTATTTACTTTTAAAATTTTTAACTGCAACTTTTTCAAAATTTTAATTATTTGTCCTATACTGAATTGAATTTTTGAAAATTTGTCTCAATTTAATTCTGAAATATTGTAAATAAAATTTCTTGAAAATATCCCTATGAAACATTTTTATTAAGGAATTAATAAAATTTATTTAATTTCTAATTACAATTGTTTGATAATAATAGTAAAATATTTACTAATTTTATTTATTTAAAAATAAAAGAATATGCGACGTTTTTAAGTTTTCTAGTAATGTCAATCGACTAAAACGACTTTTTTCTTCCTCTGAATTCAATCCGAAGCCTGAAAATGCCAAAAATTAAAATTCAGTACTAGTTTATTGTAAAAAGAGACTTAAAATAATTTAATCTTAAAAATCTTTAAAACTTAAAAAAAATTAAAAATATTTTTGTCATTTATTAAAATAGTACATATTTGAAAAAAAAAATTTTAATCTGGAAAAACTGGAAAAGTCTTGGAATTTTATTTGGAAAAAGCGCTAGACACCCTTAATTTATAATTAAAAAACATTTTATGTAATTGAATTTTTGAAAAACTTGATTAAAATGATTAGAAATAATTCATTGAAAAAGAAATTTAAGTTAAAAATTTGAGAAATATTGAGTTTTGAAAGAGCAATAGTTAAAATTTTTAGAAGAATTCGACTTAAAATTTTGAGAAATAATAATTGAATTTTTGAAAAACTTTAGACAATAATTGGATTTTCAATTGAAAACTATTAAATCATGTAATTTTTGAAAAATTTCGATTTTTTGATTGGTATAAAGTGTAATATTACCTTAATTCAATGCCGCAAAAATTCTTGTAAGTCAAATGTGGAGAATATTCATGCATCTCCTTTTTTCAGTTTTTAAATTAGACTTTTTTTTTAAAAAAAAAGATTTTAAAAATTTTGTTTTTCATAAAAATTTTCTTTTTTCTTTTGCAGATACTGCGACAGTCGACGAAAAGTTTTGCTAGAACACGTACATGAGGGCTACGAAAAAGAATGTTGGGACTATTTAGATTAAATCTAAAAGCAATTGTTTTTGGTCTCCGTAACTGTGATAAATCCGGAAAAACCAAGACAACACAGAAAAAAAATCAAATTAAAAGACTAAACAAGGGAAAAGGATCCAAGAAAAATTAAAAAAAAAAAAATTGTTTTTACTTTTGAATTCGTAAAAACTGTTTCTTTCAAAATTTAAAACTTCAAAGTTTTAATTCTATTATTTATTATATTAAAGAAATATATATATTTTTTTTTCTTGTTATTTAAGAAATCCGAGAAACTAACCAGAGCAGATTTTACATAATCGACTTTGAATTTGTATTCTCAAAAAAAAAGAAGAAGAAAACCTTATTGAAAATACGGAAAAAAATATTAACGATGTATTTCTAAAGTTATTTTTACTCCGTATAAGATCCTCAACTCTCTTTGATAATTCACGCACGGCTTACTTAATTTTTTTTTCTTCACATTAATAAATAAGGATATCGAGTTATCCGTTTGAAACTGCCAATCATTTAACTCAATTCATAAAATATACATATATGTATATATATATATGTGTGTGTGTGTTCTCATCACCAAAGTAAAAAGTAATATTTTCAAAGACCGCTGATGACAATTTCATCAATTGGTATTCAATTAAATTGGCTGATCATGAATGAAAAATATAAATTTTCTATATCACATTAATTTAAATATTGCAGATACACAGTATTCAACTTGTACGTTTTCATAGAATTAACGACAATTTTCAAACTCTTTCTTGGATGACATCTGAGGAGCGCGTTTAAAATGAAACTGATATTTAGAAAATATCTTGTTTCTTTTAATCGGTTCTCAAAAAAAAAAAAAAAAAAAAATTAAAAGAAAATTAAAAAAAAACAAAAGAATCGGACAAAAAAATCGTCTTCATATGTTGGGAACTTGATCGTGTTCCATTGTACAGTTATGTAGTTATATATATATATATATACATAGAGTCTTATAAATATATTCGTACATTGCTATGTAGAAATGACAGTAGATGTATGTTAAGAGATCAATAGAAATAATTAATTATATTAATAAAAAAGAAAATGAAGTAGTATCTTTGAGAATTACTTATATCAAAATTGTTAATTTTTATTGTTTCACTTAAAACGAGACACGAAAAAAAAAATGAGAACAGAAAATAAGTACGTCGTTGTGATTTAATTATTTATTTATAACTAAATTTACACATTAGTTTGAAACTAAATTTGTTTTTTTTTAAATATATATATATATCGATTTCTGTTCGTTTAAAACTTTTATCCAGAAGTTTATCAATATTCTACCTTTGCATGATCCATAAGAATAATATTTTCTCGTATTCAAAGGCATTAAATATATTATCTCATTACACTGTGTGACAGCCAAACAACATTTTTTATAAGACCTACTAGAGGTTGTAGGTAACAAAAAACTAAAAAGAATGGTATATTAAAAATTTTCCTAAGACCCCTAAATTTTGATTTTAGAGACAAAAAACCGTTTTCACATATATATAATCCCTTGTAACTTTTTTATTTTTGTACCGATTTAAACCCTTTGCGATATGGTGGGACGCAGTTTTAGTTTTTTAATTATTTTAGTAAAAAATAACCAATAAATGTCGAAATTTTTTATTTTTTCAGGCCTAATAGCATACAAATAAGTAAAAAAAAAATTTTTTTAGTTGAAAATTAATAAAAATAAATTTGTTTAACTTTCACAAAACAACAAAATTAGTACTTTTTAAAATAAAAATGCAGTTTCTGTTAACCTATAATGAAAATTAAGTCATAATTTTTTTTTTACAACCAGAAACGTCTAAAATTATTTTTAGAATTTTTTGTACATTTTCTGTATTTTATTTTTTTAAACAAATTGATTTTTCTTTTAAAAAAATTATAAGAAATATTTAACCAACAAATTTTTAAAAATTCACTTAAAACATGTTATTTTTGTTTTTTCCGGGTCGCTAATAACGAATTCGGTGTCCGTTTTTAAAAATTCAATATGGCGGATCCAATATGGCGGGCCACTTTTAGAAAATCAAATGCAATTCGCTTGAAACTTGTTACTCGGGAGTTTTCGGCGTCGCTGATTACGAATCTGAGGTCAGTTTTTCAAAATTCAAAAAATGGCGGATCCAAAATTTTGGACGAATTTATAAATGTTTGTTTGTTTTGTTTAAATGGCCTCTTGTAGCAACAAATAGCCAGTACTAAAAGATATAACCGGGAAGAAATTAATTACTCAGAGAAAACTTAAGATAATTAAGTATGAGATTAATCTGTTAAGTTTAGGGTGTCTATAAGTTTGTGTTGTTAAGAAAAGTAGGGTTCATAATGTGCACTCAATTGCATTCTCATCATAATGTCCACACAATTGCATTTTCACCATAAAGTCACCAATCACAATATACGATATTTAATCTGAAGTATGCAACTTGTCCAGTTTAGATGTAGAAAAGTGCATTTCTTGGTTGAGTTCAATAATGTCCAGGTTCCAATCATAGATCCAATAGGAGAACAGGTTTACAAGTAAAACTCAGTGTTTGCTTAACTGCAGCTATATGGAAGGGAAAGAGGGAAATTTACAATTTCAGTATAATGAGATAAAATAGATTGCAGTTAAAAAAAAAAAAAAACAAACCCTATTGATTTATAAAATCATACCACTACAAGAAAAAAATTTTCCAATTTCAATAACAGAATTTAAGGTTGGATCAAAAATCAGACTGTCCAAACTGAAATTATCCGGATCAAAATTTAAAAGTTTGGAAGATAAGTAAGAGAAAAAGGCAGGTCTGCCAGGAGATAGCAATGGACAATAACTCAACAAATGACGCAGACTCTTAAACTCCTCGCCACATGCACAATCCAGAGGAAGAGTCCAGTTCATCCTAGAAAAATGTTCCCCCGTGCAAATGTGTCCAGATCTCAATCTTCTAGTAATCAAATTAATAAACTTTCTCGAAGCATCAATGCCACCAAACCAAGGCCATACAGACTTGACATTCACTTTATCATAATAAGGATTTCGAGAAATATTAGCTCTAAAGTAGGACCATAATTTAATTGTCCATGATTTCAGGTCGGATCCCAGCAATGAATAAAAATCCCTCATGGGAGCCCCCACAAAATTACCAATAGGTAATTTATAGGCTTCCTTGGCCAATTTATCAGCTCTCTCATTACCCTTGATACTTTTATGAGACGGAACCCACAAAAATTGAACAAGTCGACCCTCATTAATCATTTCAAGAGTGATTCTAATTATCTTGAGTATGATAGGATGTGGTTTCATAACCAGAAATCTATCTTTAATACAACTCAACGAAGATCTCGAATCAGATACAATGATAACTTTACTCAATTGAGAGGCTCTCACAAACTTCAACGCAGATAAGATACTGTATAGTTCACACGATTCGGCAGTCATTACGCCACTAAGTTTGACTGAAAAATCAAGGCCCATAGAAGGAACACAATAGCTAGCACCAGAAAGACCTTTGATTGGATTATGTGATCCATCAGTAAAAACTTCAACGTGGTCCTTAAAAGATTTTTTCATTAAAGTGTCAAAAGACTCGCAAGGATTGACGCTAGATTTTATTTCCAAACCCAGATCAATATCAACCGAAAGCTCGCCTGTAAGCTCCCTCCAGGAAAAGTAAAAAAATCCAGGCTTTTTTGTTCTGCCACATTTATTAACCATAACCCCTATATCCGTAAATGCCTCAAGTAAGGAAAACTTTGTTGATTTCAAAACCTCATCATTAGGGGCACCACATCTCCCAAATAGAGACTCATCCAGCAACATCAATTTAGGAAAAAGAGGATTTCGAGACCAAGATATATTCCTAATAACATGTCTTCTACAAAGCATCGCTCTCCTAATATATAAAGGAGGCTCATCAGATTCAGACAATAAAATTGAAGTAGGAGTTGATCACATACATCCAAGGACCGATCTCAAAGCAGAAAACTGGATTCTATCCAAGATAGCTAAATTGGATCTAGCAGCCAGGGAAAATAATTGACATCCCCACTCCAAATGGGATCTAACTAGGCCGCGATAAACATTTAACAGAACCGAAGGATTGGCACCCCACGAAACCCTCGACAAGGACTTAATGACGTTAATCGCTTTCGTTGCTTTGCCAGCAATATCTTTCAAGTGAAAGAGCGAAAGTGTGCTCCCTCTTGGAAAAACAAATATGAATATCAGTAGCCAAGGTCGAAACACAGTCCAAGTGAGAAAGCCACGACAATCTCCTGTCCAGAACCACTCCCAGATATCTAATGGAGCCACCAACCTCAATCCTACAATCATCTATCTTAATATACAATTGACTTAAATTCTGATTCGTTCTAGAAAATGCAATCAACTGGGATTTAGGAATTGAAACTGAAAGACCCACACCAGCCAGCCATCGTGAAATCAATTTGACTGTTTCTTCCAATTTTCTCACTCCCAGAATTGAATTCTTCGTCCTAATATACAGAATTAAGTCATCTGCAAACATTAGCCATTTGATATCATGTGGTATACAGGAGTCAAAACCACTGAGAGCAAGATTAAATAAAAGTGGAGATAATACGCCACCCTGTGGAACACCAATGCCTGAAAGCTTGAATTTATCAGAATTTGCAGAAAAGAATAACCTCTGCGAACACGTAAGAAAAGAAACAAAATTTATTATCTTAGAAGGAGCTCCCAATTCTGTCAAACGATTAAACACCGATATTGGAGTGATATTATTAAATGCTCCCTTAATATCAATTGCCAGAGCGAAAGTGTGCTCCCTCTTGGAAAAACAAATATGAATATCAGTAGCCAAGGTCGAAACACAGTCCATCGATGAAAGGCCACGTCGAAAACCAAATTGGAATCTAGGTATCGCATTGACAGATTCAACATAATGTTCCAATCTTTTGTGCACCATTTTTTCAAAGAGTTTACAAATATTGGAAGTTAATGAGATTGGTCTAAAGCCAACTCCACCTGGCTTAGGGATAAATATCAATCTAGCATTTTTCCAATTATCAGGATATATAGACCCAGCAAAAAAATCATTGAAGAGACGAAATAAGAGCCTCCTACTGAGGGAGGACAACTTTTGAATAATTTTATTTGAAATCGAATCAAGACCAGGAGAGGAATTTTTCTTGCATTGGACAATCGCAGAATGGAATTCTAAATAAGTAAAGGGTTTATTCAATTCGTCCGGAACATTAGGATCAGGAATTAGGGGTAGATCAACGATAGGAACATTCTCCTGAGCTAACTCTTCCTGAAGTTTCCTGAAAACATCAGAGTTAGGATCATTACAAATCCCTGTTCTTAAAGGTTGAGAAGCATTAGAAAATGCTCTGACCTTTCCCCAAATTTCTCTAATTCCCATTGAGGGTTTGATATCGTCACAAAACTTAACAAAAGAAGATTTTTTCTTCTGACGAAGGAACCACTTAACCTCATTATCGACAGATTTAAATTTTTCCAAGAGTTCGACATTTTGACAAGCCAAAAGATCTTTCCTGGCTGATCTTCTCCTCTCAAGAGCATCATCACATTCAGAGTCCCACCAAAGAGGTTTAGCCTTTCTCCTGCCTGGCAGATTTGATGGGACATAAGCACCACAATCATGTAAGACGTCCCTAATTTGACTAGTAAATTCATCATAAATGCTGATCGGATCAGCACCACCATCCAAATCACCTAAGAGAGTTACACACTTATTATCAATAATTTTAGAAAATTTAATCCAATCAACATTTTTAATATTAATTCTATTAGTAGATGACTTAATAAATTTAGGCTCAATATCTGATGTGGCAATTACCAAAAAGTGATACGAAGCGAAGGAATCCACAGTAACCTG